GTGCATTGCACGTTGATTGCACCTAGTATATATATGTGTGTGTGTGTGTGTGTGTGTGTAACACTTTGTCTCATTTTAAATCACATCATAAAAGCATTGACTCTAAGTAGAGCTGTCAATGAGCCCGGCCAAGCTAGCTCGTGCGCAGCTTGGTAAAAAAGCCCGAGCCGAATCAAAGCTCGACCGAAATTTTGAGGCTTGGCTCGAGATTCATCGAGCCGAGCCGGATCACAATTTGTTTTTATTAAATTCATGAAATTCTAAATTCTTTTTAACAACGTAATTTTATTCATTTATACTAAGTGTAGATTAAACAAAAGTTAAAACTCTCTTCTTTTTTATAGGCTTAGAACCAGCTACAATCAACTTAGGTTAAATTAAAATTATACACGAATAAAATATTTTGTGTACACTTTGTAAAACAAATGAATTTTAAAATTACATAGTTAAATCAACAAATTACATAATTAATGCAAAAAACAGACAATAACACGGACCAAAAATGGCATGTGAAGCCCGATCGGCTTGGAGAGCCACAAGGGCCGACCCAAGCTCAGGCCAAGTCCAGTATTTTAGGCTTGTCCCGAATCTTGGCTCAGGTCCATCGAGCCCAGAGCTAAAGGGTCGGTTTGCCATCCCCAACTCTAAGCATTAGAATCGAACCGATCACACTAAGTTAAAAGTTTTTTTTTTTTTATCATTTATCATTTATTTATTTATTTGTAGTTTCTTGGCATAACTCAAGTTCACGTAGTTTGATGAGTATTCTACACTCATGATATTTATGCCATTTAATTCATTATTTTGTCATTCTTGAGAGAGTTTTATGGCGTTTTAACGTGTGTTTTGATGTTGTGATATAGGGTGATGGAATTGAAGGAAATAAGCAAATGTTGGCAAATTGGAGAAATTGGCTAAATTGTAAGAGATTCAAAGTTCGGGGACTAAAGTGTAAATACTCAAAAGTTGTGTCGGTCCTCAAAATGAAGATTTGAGAGTGTTTGGAGTCAATTGGATGAAGAAAGAGGTCAAAAAGATTAAATACATGCAAAGTTCATTTTCACATAAATTTCCAACCGAAAAAGTTATACTACGGATTTTCAGTCTTATATTGAGACTCATTTTGATATAGCACACGTTTGAATTGGAAAATTATATCTGCAGTAAAGTTGTATATCTTTGAGTTTTCTTTCCAACGCATCTTAAATCGCCTCAATCGGACATTGGGAGAAAAAGTTATGATAAAAATACTGAAGGATGCACAGTGCAGTTTTTCCATCCAAAACGGGTACCGCGGCATCGAAATAGTGGCGCGTCGCGCCACCGTCGCTGAAAATAAACAGAATCACGGGCGCCGCAGAGCCCATATTGGGCGCCAAGGAGCCGCCGTGCGAGAAATAGGTTTTTTGAATTTTTTGGACTCTTTTCTTGGCCCAATACAACTCCAGCCCGTCCAAGATTTCATGAGAATAAAAANCGAAATAGTGGTGCCGCGGCCTTCGCTGAAAATAAACAGAATCATGGGCGCCGCAGCGCCCATATTGGCACCGCCGTGCGAGAAATAGGGTTTTTGAATTTTTTGGACTCTTTTCTTGGCCCAATACATAAAGTGAGCACATGTTCGAATCTTTCCTATTGCAATTCCTGAATTCCTGAAGTGAGCCCGTCTACTCCGTAGAATTTCTAGTCTCAATTTCTGAAGTCTCCCTTGATCCTACTGGAGGTGTGATCCTTCAAAACATATCTCGACTTCTGTTTATATCTTAGCCCTCCTGGACTACATGCTTCGACGTCAGATCCCGACTCCTAGTACCTCGCCTTAGTCTTCCTACATTTGTGTTTCTGCAACTGCTCCCGATCCCTAGTATCTATTTATCTCCGATGGATTAAATGGTTTGGTGTTTGATCAAAAGATCTTGTGTGTTTTGATATGTGGTTTAATGTGAAACAATATGGCTAAATCAACAAATCAAAATTTGGATGAAATTATGGCTCAAATAATATGGTGGTTGAATCTTCGAATTAGGGAATGTTTTTTATGTGAAAAATGCATTGCAAGTTGCTACTGAGAATTTGAAGCATAATTTGTACGGCTCTTTAACACTCTTTAGACCTCTAATTGCATTCCCTTAATCATATGTGATCTTTTTGGACATCTTGGACTCCTTCGAGACCTATACTACCAATTTCAACTCTTTTGCTATAATTAGGACTCAATAACTCATATTTTGACTTTGATTACAGTTTGATAAAAACCTAATACAATTCAATTAGGACATGATTTTGACTAAGAAATTGCCAATAATAATTTGAACTTAACACTCAACAACTATGACATGCCATATTATTATTGGTCTGCTTCTCCTACTCTATATGGTTTCTTGCTAGACTCACATGAATATCTAAGATTCTTTGCAACGATGATATGACAGGTTTTATTTGGTATGCTCCTCTCTTTTAACATGTTGTATCGAATCACGTTAGTCTTATGGACATGAACCTATGGTGGCATCCAACTCACTATGGGATCACCTCTAGGATCTAAAAAGGGAATACTTGTACCTGAAATTTGCATACAAAGTGGTTCTGCAGTAAAATGAGAAATCGAGTATAAGCAAATCAAGGAATCAAAAGCATTCATGTATCAGTTAGTTGCCTTTGCCGCAGAGGCAGATTTATATCGTTTTCAGTTTCTTCTACTCGATCACATTCTAGGCCTTCACAAACGCTCACAAATCTTCTCTTCATCTTATTGTTTCTTCCCTTGTGCTAGGCTAACGCGCATCACACGCCCCTCTAATTCCTGAAGAACAAAGGAATGCAGATATAGTTTAACATCTAGAATAACAAATTGGTGAAATTCTTTTGGCGATGAATATGCGCAGAACGAGTTTTAAGACGGATTTATACCACTCCATTGAGAGCTTGGAGTGCAGTGTCCATCTCGGCTTTGGTGTCATAGCACACAAATCCATAGCCACGAGACCTTCCGGTTTCCCCATCATATAGAACTCGTGCTCCAACTACATTTCCGTATTCTTGAAATGCTTTTGTCAAGATTTCAGACGTGACCGACCATGCTAGATTTCCCACAAAAAGTTTATATTCAGTTTCTGGATATAAGGGCTCTTTTGGTCTAGGCTTGTCCGAGAAATTCACCCTTAAGGTTCGACCGCCATATTCCTGTAATGAAGAGATAACTGGGGGGAGTTAGGATTTCAAATAATGAACAAGATATGGACATTTCCAAAACCTTTATTTGATTTATTTCATTTTCATCTATTCCATGATCGGAGCAAGTGAGGATAAACGTTACACTAGTAGTTAAATCCGTAAAGATGGAGTTTCAACTGTCGAGTAGAGAAGAGATAGATTCTTACTCTTCCATCTAGATTTTCAATGACTGTATGGCAATCGTCAATGCTGCTCATGGTCACAAATGCAAAACCTCTGCTTTTTCCGGTATCCCTATCATATAGAACCTAAATAAATTGCGTGTATTAGTGACCAATGAGATTACCTTAGTTTGTGAAGAAATAAAACATTGTCATAGACTGAATGCATGTGACAAAGTTATCTGAACTTCATTCAAGGTTAGCCTCACATTCAGGCTAAAAACTTTATTGAACTTAGTCTCATGGATTAATTCTGGAAGCTAGTAGTACCACTAAACTAGGAAGTTTGGACTTTGGTCTCTTAATCCAATACTTAAATCAAGGACATCAAATGCGAGTGTATCTACTTCCCTGATATCAAATCTTGAAATTCCGAGGCCAATTACATAATCATATGGACTTGTACTTTTATTTCCATCCTAAATTCACTCGAAATCCATATGGTTATTTTGCAGCAAGAAAGTAAATTTACTAACCTCAACCAGCTCTGGACTAGCACATTCTTGAATAATTCCAGCAAGTTGAGCACTATCACAATGATAAGGCAAATTTCCAAAGTAAAGCTTAGTGTTCACAGTAGCACTTTGTGCAGCCTGTCCTTCACTTGTCTCTTCGTATCCACTCTTCTCCTCCTCCACCGGAGCCGCCTCGACAGCCTCTTCTTGTGCTAAAGCAGCCGTTAATCGAGGCACTCTCGACTTGCCACATTTAGCACCAATCGGATTTAATTCAATCCAAAGAGGGCGAGTTATTGATGCAGGTTGTAAAATTCTATGGGATGATAATTTTACAAGATTATCACAAGGCCAACTTTTTGAGGAGGTCAAATATTTCAGGCTTTGCATGGAGTTCGAGAACGAGGCGGCTACTGCCGCAGCAGCGGTGGCTGCCATTTCAGAGGTGGTGGTGGCAGTGGTTATAGGGTGGTACTGTGGTGTATTATTAGAGTGTTAGATGGTCAGATCATATGCAAGAAAAGACAATAGAATGAAGTATGGGGCTATGGGATTGTATGTGCTGATGTGGGGAGATTTAGTCCAGTGAGATTGGAAGGGATATGAGGGATAAGGTTTCAGTTTCTAGTTTATGGTTTTTAAGTGGAACAGAGGTTTTTTTCCCTGCTCTTAAATGGGCTTTTTCAGTTGTGGTGCATTCTTAGCCACATTTGCTGTTTTTATTTGTTATATCATTGAAGTGTTCCATGTCTTGCACATGATCTCTATAAAACTAGTTAGGAAAAGAAATAAAAACAACGAAAAAGCATTTATTAATGATGACAAAAAATGATTCAATGTCAAAAAAGTGACATTAATTTGGGCTTTTGTGTGGTTTCTCTATAAACCTGAAAGCAACTGTTTGTGCTTAAGCCCCTATTTGTTCTCGTTATCTCAAAATTCTTTTTTCAACATACTCATTTTCAATCGCACATTCACACAATAATATATTGGGTGATGCTATCGGTACATCACGGTATACATCAAGGACTACACCCCCCTCACATGGAGGGTGGCGTCCGCTCGAATAATAAAATATTCTACACGAACCAAATCATTTTTCCTACTTTTAAACCATACATTCTTCAAAAATTACTATTCAAAACAATGTTTTTCATAAAAATGGGCCACCAAACAAGGGCCAATTATGTTCGTGACCTTTTCTTCAACTAGATATGGAAATAAGTTGGGCTCGTAAGCTGGCAAGCCGGTCGTTACATTAGTGCTCGGCTCATGAGCAGCTCAAACTTGCATTTAAGTCCAAAAAAGTGAAGTTTTTTATATTGCATTTAATCTTTATTTCGACAAATTTGAATTTTTCAACCAAAAACAAAAAAATTATATATATATATATAGCCTTTGTTTGACAACCATACTTTTCAAACTCTTTTTTCATATACTCATTTTCAACCAACTATTTACACAATAAAATATTTTGCATGTACACCTAAAATATTTTCTTACTTTTTAATCACACATGCTCCTAAAAATCACTATTCGAAACTATATTTTTCAAAAGTATGATTGTCAAACACGTTTTATAAAGATTCGTGAACCGACTCTATTCAATCCTCCTAATCAAGGAGCCGAACCAGACTTGGCTTGTTAATTAATGGGCCAAGCCCAGTTCGTACAACAAGCTGATCATGCTCTCGAGGTACCAAGCTTGGTCCATTGCCTCCCGTATCTCCAAATTTTGCTTTTGGCCAAATATAAAATGTACCCTAGTTTCAAACTAATAAAACAAACGGAAAATCTCATATTTGCATCATTACAAAATAAAAAATCAGATAATACTATATGTGGTAATTGGTACAAAACTTCCCTACCTTTGACATGTATTGTGGAAACCGTCCATACCTTTCATATTTTGGCATTTATGCCCTTACCTTCAACATTTCGTGCGCCGAAGGTCCTTTTCATTATACTTGAATCATCAAATCTACAATTTGTGACATCCTATATGATCATTAAGCTTTATATTATTGTTACAAATTAAAATATGTGAATAATCGAATATTAATTCATATTGTCGTTCACAGAATATTACTCGAAGGGCATCAAACTAACAATATCCCACTTTCCCTTTAGAGTATATGTGACATATCAAGAATAATCACTCTCTCAAGATGCCCATCAAAAACCTTAGTTGGTAAGTTCTTGGTAAACGGATCCACAAGATTATCTACTGATGCAATCTTACTAATCGTTACGTCTGCTCGACGAACAATCTCTCTAACAATGTGATTTTTCCTCTCAATATGTTTTCCATGCTGATGACTCCTTAGTTTTTTAGCATTAGCAACCGCTTCACCATTATCACAATAAAGTGTTATGGGTTCCATTACTAAAGTTACCAGTTCAAGATCCAAAAGAAACTTCTTGAACTATACAGCTTCTTAAGCAGGTTTACAAGCAACTATTTATTCTACCTCTATGGTGGAATCATCAATACAAGATTTTTTGATGCTTCTTCATACTATGGCTCCACCTCTTAGTGTGAATACTGAACTTGATGTGTACATTTTAGAGTTTCGATCGAATTGAAAATTGGAATCAGTATATCCAATAAGATTTTGATCATGTTGTGAATAGACAAGCATATAATCTCTCATTCTCTAGAGGTACTTGAGTGTGTGCTTCACCACTATCCAGCATTCTGGTCCCAGATTAGATTGATAACTCCTAACAATATATACAGCATCACATATATTCAGTCTAGTGCAAAGCATAGCATACATGAGGCTTTCTACAGTCGAAACATAATGAACATTCTTCACGTAATCTATCTCCATTGGAGTCTTGGGAGAATGCTCCTTAAATATATTAATTTCTTGACTAAAGGGAAGTTGTTCCTTTTTGGAAGTTTGTATTGCAAATATGTATAATATATTGTCAATGTATGAAGCTTAGGATAATGTTATCCACCTGTTTTTCCTATTTCGTAAGGTATGGATTCCCAAAACATAACTAGATTCTCTCAAGTCCTTCATGTCCAACTATTGTGACAACCATTTCTTAACAGATGACAATGTCCCGTCCATAAAGAATTAGAAAAACTACTTTCTTTCCTTAAATACGCTTGTATAACAAGGCTTATCTAGATTTTAGTCAAAACCATATGTCTTAATGTTTTGATCAAATTTGACATTCCAAGATACCTGGATGCTTGCTTAAGTCAATAAATGGACCTTTGCAACTTGCAAACTTTTCTTTCACGAACATCTCAAGTTGCATCATGTAGATGGTCTTCTTAAGACGTCCATTTAAAAATGCTATCTTCACATCCATTAGCCAAACCTCATAATCATAATGAGAGGCAATAGATAAAAGGATTCAAATAGATTTAAACATGGCAACAAAGCATCTAAATGGTGGTCTAACAATCCTCCCACTAGGAGTAATGGTTGAAGGTGTCTGATCATCGTAAAGGTCTTTCCTCTCCTCCGACTACTTGGTCTTGTCCTTGGTTGGTATCGACCTCCTCATTATCCTTGTCGTGAAAGGCATGTAGAGGTAGAACAATTAATACCTCGTTCTCTAGTACCTCTGGTTCTATTTTTCCATGGGGTTTTGTAGACATCAATTATTCATTTACCTCATTGGCAACCACTAGTTCAGTGGGAGGTTCCAAGTGATTGTTCATCAAGGAGACGTAACGGTTAGCAAGATTAAATTGATAGATAATCCTGTGGATATTCACCAAGAGCTTACCAACTAAGATTTTTTATGGGCATCTCGAGAGGATGTGTATTCTTGATTTGTCATATATACTCCAAAAGGGCAAGTCAGAGATTGTTTGTTCGATGCCCTTCGACTAATATTTTGTGAGCGAAATTATGAATTAATATTCGATGATTCCCATATTTTAATTTGTAACAATAATAGTTCCATGATCATTTAGGATTTTACAAATTGTATACTTGATGGTTCAAGTATAATGAGACACATTTTGTGACGTGATCAAAATATATCGTTCTATATTAGTACATAGAGTTGGACGCTTTATGTTGATAAGATTGAATTTTTCTTAATAAGATTTGTTTACATATTTGGACTAAGAATAATGATGTGTTTGGAGCACATTGAATGGGACTACATAGATGACTCATTTGTGACCTTTTAGAATGAGAATCTACTCGATCATCCAACAAGAATGAGTGAAGTCTTAATTAGAAGATTGATTTCACTACTTTGGGAATCGGGGTGAATAGTTATCGATCATATAGTTGTAATAATGGAATCCGTTAATCATCACGATGAGGCGATCATCACTCCGAGGCATTTTCTATAGGCATTTGAATATAAGCTCAATAGTCTGACGGTGGGATCATTAGACTATGTTGTGATTTGTTCACAAAGGATTTGCCTTATGAAAATTGGACATGGAGGGTTAGGGCTGGACAAAACTCCCGAACCGAACCGGACCGAACCGAATCGAGCGGTTCTTCATAAGTTAAATACCCGAACGGGTATTTGAATCGAGAACCGATGGGTTTGGGTTGGTTCTCGGTTCTGGACCAAGATCCGAATCTAAATAATTTTTAAAATTTTTCATATTGAATTAATTAATTTTTTTTAAACAAATTA